CGCCTCGTTTACCGCTCGCGCCTTAACGAGGGACGGCAAATTTACAACGAGCGTAAACACGGCATCACCGCATGTCGGGAAGAAACACGGACGAAAGCGGCGCGCGTTTTGCACTAAGTACCCTTGAATCGGGAGCGCTGAACCGAAACGGTACACAACCGAGCGAGCGGCAGTAAATACAGACGTAATTTTCACGAATAACTGTACGAAAATTATGAAGATGTATGTATACGTTTCTCGGCAAATATATAAATCGACAAATTCCCGATGTACGCACATCTTTGGGTTGATTTCTTCAAAATACTGTTGCAATTGAATATGATTTATATCGTAAATAATTAATAATAAAGTTGCAAAATTTTGCAAAAAGGATGGTGAATATTCTTTCCCATGAAAGAATCCTGCCGTCGTGATTCTCAGGAATAGAAACCATCGAATATACGTCATCCGAATATCCGGCATTCTGCGCGGTTTGCACTAGAAACGCATTCAATTGAGCGGAATTAATCACTTCATCGGAAAGACTTACAATTAGACTATCCGTTAACACGATCAATATTTCAACCTTATAAAGCACTCGTATCGATTCTGTTCGACACTGAGAAACGTTAGAGCGATACACTTATATATATTTTTTAATTTGGTTCCCTCAAAAGTCATTATATAGTTAAATTATTATTGTTAGTTGTTATAATTATTGTTGTATATTATTGTTATAATTATTGTTGTATATTATTGTTAGTATAATAAGCTTATATAGATAAAATAAATTTTAAATGCAAATATGAAAGAATTTTAACAAAATTCTTGCATTGCAATTATTTACTAAATAATCGTTATATAGCAATTGTATAGCGCTGTTTAGCGCAAGTTTGTAGCCACCTAGAACCAAAATTCCTGAATCATCTAATCACACTTAACGGCATTTGCGGAAATAAACACTCGAGGATGCTTTTCTTAAACGTGAACTTTTTTTCAGTTAACTCGAACGAATACAAGGATCTGTTCCGATGTCTCACAATCTTAGACTTCTGTGCGTCGTTTCAAACAATCCGGATGCGATCTTTCGATTTGTTCTCCGACGAGCGATATCAATCGGAGCGGCTAAAGCTCGACCGACACTTCGGGAGACGCACGGGCGCAACGATGTACAATTTGTAGAAAGATATTTAATAAAAAATATTGCGCGCGAAAAATATTGTGCAAATTAAAGCACTCTGTATTTCCATGTTACATAGAAATCACATATCGAATATTACTGCTATGCAGAAATATCCAAGAAATTGAAGAAATACATTTTATTTATATATTTAATTTGATTTCGAAGGCAATATATCGTTACTCTATTAAAGTTAGTAATAATTTTCCGGCATCGGGGCTACCACGGGCTTCAATTTTATTCCAAATACTCTGTCAACTTGTTTCAATTATCAATATTAATCAAATTCAATTTGTATATAAATCAAATGATTGCTGTAGAGTACGAGTCTATTAGTGTATATTTTCTCTCTTCTCTTTTAAAATCTCTTCCATCTCCAGCTTCTATATATATAATATATATATATTACACGAAGGAAGTTAATTTAGGTGTAAAGAAATTAACTTAGATGCAAATTAAACTAACGCAATAAATTAGAGGCTTAAGAAGAAGATTGTATTAAATGTTCCAGTTGGCTTTGAAGGCTCATTGTAGCTACAAATCTAGTACAGATATTTTGAAAATTGGCACGTCATTTTAAAGCTTAGACATTTCTACAAATATAATTTGACACATATTTTGTTAAACTACACTTTTTAGTGTGATTAAAAATGGAACGTGATAAAAAGCATTTTCGTTATTTAGTATTGGTAATCATTTTTGCAAAATTTCTTTAAAACTAATCGAAACACCTAATAATTAAATGAAGAACAAACGTAATATCATTCTTCGTTCTTTATGTCGTATCCATTTGGCGACACCGATCGTATCATTTTATAACAAAATTGCAAAACATATTACAAAAAAATTGCGAAACATAACATCTCGATGTTTACCTGTCGACATTAATATTGCTCTATAATGTTTCGTGTGCGGACCGTTGAGAACTTTTACCCTGAGGTAAAACACGGAGCCGCGTAAATCCCCGCGCGGATACAACTCCGCAAATTGTGTCCGCAATTAAGAGAGTGGAAGGAAAGTCAATAATTAGTTCCACGTTCTTAAAGTTTCCCGAAGACTCCTCTCGAATCTTCCTTAAACACTCCGTTAATTAAGGACCGGAATATTTAATCCGCTGATAGAAGAACGATACATGTTGGAGCTTCCCGCGAAAGAAAGCAACGAAATGATCGAACGTATTATCGTTAGAACAAAAAACTAACTTACCTCATTAAATTTCTCGCACACTTTATGCACATTTATTAAATCCTAATTAGGGAAAAGTTACGTAAATTCTCGTTAGATATATTTTTACGTGTGCGTTTAAAAGAAGCCCTATCTCTCGAACGTTTACAATTCATCAGTACGTATTTATCTACAGAATTATACATTTATTATGTATTATAAAATAAGTAGATAATAAATTAAAAGAATGATGCCGTTTCTTCAACAGTTGAAAATATTCCGTTGCGGAAAGAACGATTTTGCTGGATCCTGATCTGAAAATAATTTTTGTTCAATAATCAAAATAATTTTGTGGGAAAGTCACAACAATTACTAGAACATCAAAACGTTTTGTAGCAATGCTTATAACTTTTAACTTTCCAACAAATTATTTATTTTGATGATTGAACAAGATTTATTTTCAGATCTGTATTCAGCAAAATTTTTAGACCTTTCAACGAAATCGTTCTTTCCGTGGGAAAGGAATCTTTTAGTTGGAAGAATTTGCAATTAATTCCTTCTCTGAATTATAAAATAATATCGCGTATCGCACAATTATCCTTGTACAATTATCAATAGAGCGGTACAAGCTGCAGGGACCCACACGATGAACACGCAAAAACCGTCTGGGTAAAGCGGGCGGGGCCGAGCGGCGGAGGAATTGTCATTTAATTCCACTTGAGATTTTCCAGTCTATTTCACCGCCGTACCCTTTCTGCCCTTTGTCATTTCCGGCGAGCTGCCGCCATCAGCAAGCCCTCCCGCGCGTATATATATGTATTCGTCGCGGCCGAATCTTTTTGTGCTCCGAGCCCGTCGCCGCGCACATAATGCCATCCACTCGCCCCGTGGATCAAGGCCTGACAAAACCGAGCTAAAAAAAAACGGAGGCCCTCTTTCTTTCTTCGGCGATC